TAAATTTTATTAAATTATAAAAGTTTCCATTTCCGCCCCCCCTCCCAACACCCTCCCACTCCCCCCACCACTCCCCCCCTCCTTCCCCTCCGTCCCCCAGGGCAGTCAGGGTTTCCTGCCCTGTGGGAAGCTCCAGCTCCCTCCCCCTCCCTCCAGGTCCAGGAAGGCGAGCGTCCAAACAGACTGGATCCCCAAAATCCAGCATATGCAGAGGAAACAGGTCCCAGTGTCATAGTCAATGGCTTTTCAGAAAGACCCCGAGCCAGCCACAGTCAGAGAATCCGGCCAAATTCCGAGAATCTGGCTAGATCACGTCCTCGTTCAGTCCCAGTCCGGCTGGCCCTGGTAAACTCTCATCAGATCCGTTCCCTTGTATCAGTGGGTGATAGCATCCCTCGCAGTACTGATTTCGTTTTTCATGTTCCTCCTCCTTCCGCTCCCCCTCCGGTTTTGGATGGGCTCTGTTTGCTGACAGCAAGCAAGAACTCTGAGGCTCCTTTAAGAGAGGTCTTCCTGACTCAGCACTAGCAGGGAAGGCTGCATGGCTTCTTTAGGGGAGGGCTTACTGGTTTGTGCTAGTTACAGGAACAGCTCTGGCTCTTTCAGGAGGCCCAGCACTTAAATGGGGTCTGTAGCTCCAACCCTGGAGCTGGGGCAGTGAGTGTGCATGGCTCTCAGAGGCAGTGAACATGCCTCCACCATGTTGGACAGGGTGGAACCAACAGGCAGGAACACAGATTTTGTCCTACTCACATCTACTTAGCACACACAAAAAAAGTACTCCTAGTCAGAAAAGATTACAGATACGCATGCAATAAAGACATATTCAGATAAAAAAAAGCCTCTGAATGAGTCACAGTGTTGGATAAATGTACATAGGCTTGGGAGAGAGAGGAAAAAGCATATAGGCAGTTATAAAAGAATATAGGCAGTCATAGATTAAAGGAGTAATGATAATAAAATAAATGCTAAACTTATAGAAAAAGTAATAGAGTAAGAAAAATAAGCCACATAAAGATGGAATATACACAGAGAGTCTGGATTATGTATATTACTGTGTGTTTTTTGAATGTTTTGACTGTAAATGAGCTAAGTACAGAGAGACACTTAATTGTGCAGGCTGCTAAGTTAAACCAACATATACATTTTAAAGATATCTTGACTTCAAAATTTGGGACTAAGGATATGTTGCTTTGGAAAAGAGGCTCTCCTTTTGTTTCCATAGAGGATGAGAACCTGTGGATTCCTTCCAGACAAGTGTGGTTTGAAGGACCAAGACCCCCTGAAAGGGGGAAACAGTTTTGGGAGAACTGTGCCCCAATTTCCAAATATTGTTTATAAATGTTTGTTTTCATTTAAAGGGGGATATGCTACAGAGGTTAACACTTTACATTGATATGGATTTTGATCTATTGGTACAAATTGAAGGTTAATTTTGTTTTATGTATTTCTGTTCTTGTTTAAGGTATTATGTTTGTGCAACTCATTTAAAAGTGTAATGTACAGTTAAGAAATACAGGTTAATAGATAGTCACTTATAATAGTCAAACTTGTAGTCATTTTAGTCAGGTTTCCTAGATGTACATAGATATATTTCAGATGGATAGGTATTCATCAAATCATTCAAAAACAAAGAGAACATGGCATTTAAAATGCTTTAAGAACTTAGGACTTTTCATGACAATGAGACACATCTGCTCCTGGCAGCAGCCGTCTACTTAACAAGGAAAATGGGCATTGAAGAGGCTCCTTATGGAATTTGTTAGTCATTTAGGCAAGAGACTGTTCTTATCTGGACTGCTTGATGGCATGCTGTATAAACTGGACATGTAGGACCCACAGAAAAATGACTGCTAAAATTGCCTAAAGAAGGTGAGACAGTCCTTCAGGGTTCCTGTTTCATGAAATAGTCTGCCAGACATTCTGCAGGACACAGAAAGAAGTGCTTGACAAATTGCCAATGTAGGCAGAACTGTCTTTGAAATTTCCTATTTCATGGAAAAGTCTGCCAGATTCAATGGGCCTGTAGGCTGAAAACGGATGCCCCAATGGTACAAAACTTTGGGTGACTGTCCAGTCAGCAAGATATCTCTGTCAATTCTAGAGTTTTGGAAGTTGCTTATAATGCACTTCTTGTTTACTTAGATAATATTATATCCTTCTGGGCCTTTGATGGAGTTGAAGAAAAATAGTTATAATTATAAAAGATAGATTAGATACAAAACTTTAGACTAACAAAAATAGGATAAATGACAGAGTTTTTTAATTTTCCAAATGTAAATGGACTAAATATTGTAACTATAATTCTTGCTTGATAACTGTTTTGTTATATATAATCTTGCATGCTAAAGTTAAAACCTCCCTTTTTATTTAGAAAGAAAAGGGGAGGTGATGTAGGATTCCCCTTTGTATGCTGTGAATATGTTTTATTACCATTGGTTAATAAAGAAGCTGATTTGGGCCTACGGCAGCACAGAACAGGATAGAATTTCAAGCAGAGATAGAGAAAAAAAGAAGGCAGAGTCAGAGAGATGCCATTTAACTGTGGAATGAGAAAGATACCCTCCCTGAAACCTTACCAGTAAACCACAAGCCTTCTGGTAAAATATGAAATATTAGGAATGGGTTGATTTAAGATGTAAGAGTTAGTTAATAAGAAGCCTAAGCTATAGGCCAAGCAGTATTTCAATTGATACAGTTTCTGTGTGATTATTTCAGGTCTGGGCAGCCGAGAAAGAACAAGTAGACTCCTATTATACTTTAAGCTTGTAGCCATATCATAATGCAAAACACATTTAGTCTAATTTCAGAAGTACCCATAGTCTTTCACAGTCTCAACACTGTTTAAAAGTCTGGAGTTCAAAATTTCTTCAGAGGCTCAAATCAATCTCTTAACTGTAAAATCAAAATAAAAAGCAGACCACATACTTCCAACACACAGTGGCACAGAATATATATTACCATTCCCAAAGGGGAAAAAAAAGAAGCATAATAAGGAAGTATTGGATAAGAGCAAGACCCCAGACCAACAAGGAAAACTCCAGATTCTGCATCTCCAAGTCGGATCTCCAATCCCTTTCAGCTTTGTTGAGAGTTTAACACACTTCTCTCACTGTTGCTGGTTCCTCATCCACTCTGCAGCCCTCCTTGGCAGATATCCTAGGATCTCCACTATCTTGGAGTTTCAAATCACAGCTTCATGCAATGACCTCTTTGAGTCTCCACACAGTGACATCGCTGACACACTCCTGGTGTCGGCAGCTTTCTGTAGCCATAAAGGAAGATTCCACATCCCCTTTCTTATATTCTTAACTTTAAAACCAGAGCCAAGTGGCCAAAAGCTGCCAAGTTCTACTACTTGTTGGGGATGGAACCTGCCCCTTGTAAAATTACATTTGCATCAACTTTCTGTTGTTGATGGTTTCCTTGCTTAAGTTTGTTTGTTTTTTTAAATAAATTCCTTTTCACAAGTTGAAAGCTTGGCTGGGTAAGGTTTTGTCCTGTGGTCACTACTCCCTTTACTCCATTTAGCATCAGGCTTTTCTTTACTTTTATCTCCTTGTGCACTGGAACTTCTGTCTTCTATGCTACACTTTCTGGTGCTCCTCTTCTCCTCAAACTGTATAGTTTATATTTTTCTTTGCTCTGCTTCTCCCTTTCATTATAGATTGCACGAGAGACTACTAATAACCACAGGACAAAGTCAGTACTAGGCTGTGTTGAAGTCTCTGCCGATACCATTAATCAAAACTCTTCAATTTGGCCTCAGGAAGATTTTTAAAACAAGGGCAAAAAGTAGCCACATTCTTTAGCAAAATATTGTAAGAATGGTCTCTAGGCTACTTACTAATATTTTTCTCCTTTGAAATTTCTTGAGCCAGGACATCATAATTTATATTGCTCTCAGCATCTTCCACACTCCTACTAGGATGGCCCAGTAATCCCTGCTTAAAGTATTCAACCATTTCTAGGTCAAAGTTTCAAAGTATTCCTTTAACAAACAGCATGGTCAGGCCAATCACAGAAACACCCCACTCCTGGTACCAATTTCTGTCTCAGCTGCTTCCTTTTACTTGGCCTATTTAGTCTGCAGGGAAATTCCATTTCAGAATCTGTAATCCTTTTCTGTGATGTTTATACTTAAATAATTAATGGGTTAAAAACCACTCTGTCCCACACCCATCCTCCTATAGGAACTATCTTCACCCTCAGAGACTCACCAACCTGTGGAAGACACTAAATGAAACATCTACTAGAAGCACCATGACAGAAGTATATCCCAGCTACAGCAGAGGACGGTGAGGTCATTTCTACAGGAGTGGTAGTGATAGGTACCTTTTAGAAGGGTTGCACAAAGATGTTCTTTCTTCTTTCCTTTCATGGCCAATGTCCACTCAACTTTAAAAACTAAGAGCCCTTACTTTAAGGAATATTTATCTTTTGTTCATTTGCTCATCTTACCACTAACCAAATTATTTTTAAGACTAGGACACCATATTACCTTCTTGTTTCCTTCTGTTACCCTAATAGCTTGTCTTAGCTCTTTTTTCTTCCCCAATGAATGTGGAGGCCAGAGACTGACAGCAGCAATCTGTTTCAATTGTTCTCCACTGAACACGGAGTTTTCTACTCTTCCAGTCTGGCTGTCCAGCAAGCCAATCAGTTCCATCACTGAGATTACAGATACGCCCTGCACTGTCAGCATTTACATGGGTGCTGAGGACCCAGACTCAGCTCCTCATGCTTGGGCAGCCAGCGTTTTACTTACAGAGCCCTCTGTCTAGTTCCTGGAATAACTTTAATACCATGTTTTCAATTTGTACTTATTTAGTCTGGGTTTATAGTCAGTTTTCTTTAGAGAGGTTGAAAACTCACTTTGGAGGCAGGTGTTGACTAAATAGCTGGAGATGAGATGTTTGGAGAACTGTGACTTGATTTTGATGCTTTATCAAAGCCAGCTATTATTTAAGCATGTATACCTACCTTTCTTTATTTACAAAAATACCAAACTATTTGTGTGCTCTATAAAGTATTTGTTAAACACAAGCTATATTATAAACTAATATAATCAAAAAATGTGCTAATTTCAACACTATTAATTAAGTACCCAGCACCTGCCTTGAGAAACAGATAATGGCCACCAACATGAAGCCTACTGTATGTCTCTTCTTGTTCACGTGACTTTCTCATTTCCTCAGGGATGAGCAGCAGACTGAGCTTCAGGTTTCTCAGTGTCTTTATTTCCTTTGGAATTCTTCATCCTGTGATTAATTCCATGTGTTAGCACATCTAGGAAAGGGTACCAAAAAGTATAGAGACTGCAGTGAAGGTATTTTTCTTTTAGATATGATTAGCAATCAATTCAGTAAACTTTAGGCTAAGCACATTTCTCTTTGTATTATGGCTGAACCTCATCTAATCTGCTAAGGCCTCAGTGGGAAAGGATGGGATTCCAAAACAAGGAAGTTGGGCTTCCAGACTGCCTTTGGATTCAAGGCTGGAATATCAACTCTTTCCTGAGTTTTCTTCCAACCTCTCCAAACCTGCCCTGCAGATTTGAGGCTTCTTGGCCCCTCTGATCACATGACACCCCTCCCCCCCCATTTTGTAAGCAAGAGCAGAGGTGGGATGTTTGGAGGACTATAAGTTGATTTTGATAACTTTTCATATTTGCAAAGTCAGTTACTGTTAAGCATGCATGTATGCAGCACTTTACAGAATTACCCACCTGTCATCCATTTGCGCTGTTTCTCTGTCTGGCTTTAAACTCAGGTTCTTCCTCTTTCAGCTTTCCAAGCACTGGTAGTACACACACATATCACGCCAGTTCGTCATATTCTGTTCATTGCAGACTTTCTTAAGCAGTCTACTCCATGGTTTGCAGCAAGAAAATTCTTTTTTTTTTTTGAAAGTAATTTTATTAAATTATAAAAGTTTCCATTTCCGCCCCTCTTCCCAACACCCTTCCACTCCCCCCACTCCCTCTCCTCCTCCCTCTTCATCCCTTAGGGCAGTCAGGGTTTCCTGCCCTGTGGGAAGTTCAAGTTCCTCCCCCCTCCCTCCAGGTCCAGGAAGGTGAGTATCCAAACAGACTGGATCCCCAAAATCCAGTATATGCAGAGGAAACAAAATACTTTGCATCCTTTATGTACATTTCAGAATTGGCTCATCAACTGTTAGGACAATCTCTGTTGCATTTTTGTTGGGGACTGAGAGAATCAATAGATCAATTTAAAGAAAGTGTTTTTTTTTTTAATTTATGATATTGAGTGTTTCTGGGTGCACGGTCTTTCTTTTCATGTATTTAAACCTTGTCTAATGATCTCTAAAAACATCAGTAATGTTCTTCAAAAATATTTTGCTTGTTTTTATCCTAGGAACCTTATTTTGTTGCTTTGTTCTAAATGTAAACAGCCCTTAAAATGAAATATATTATATCCTAATTAGGTAGATGGAGGCTTTAGACTGCACTTTAAATATATGAAAAAAATCAGAGACTTGTATTTGGTTTATTCTGGATATGTTTGTACTTGTTGGAGGTTCCCTCATATACACACTTGCATATGAGTAGGAAAATACTATAGCTTTCTAAATATTTTACTAGAATTAGTATCTTACCTTCTCTTGAAATAAGAGAATGAGAATCATATGGTTTATATACAAATCATACATGCAGATATACACATATATGGAGATATATGAAGAATTGATGCATAAAAACGATCTAGAATGCTAGCTATTTTAAAACTTGGGGTTACTATCTTACGCAATGCTATGTAAAAGCCCTTTCTTTTTTCCAATACACTTTGCATTACAATTTAGTGTTGGCTTTTTCTCTTGAGATTAACTAAATATCTCTGTGTAGACATCATTGATTTTTTTTTTGTAGGAATAAAATGATCTGGCTCAAATATCAGCTTGGGAAATCAGCACTACAGGTTACTCAGAATGCAATACTCAGGAGGGAATCATATTCACTGCTACTTACTTAGTTTTTTTTTTTTGTTCTAAGCCCTTCGGTACTCTAATCTAACAAATTGTTGAAGCATTTACAAAAGGGAAATTCCTGCGGCCTATCAGAGCTGAAACTCTACCCTGCTTTCTGGTAGATTTCACTCTGAGCTTGCCACAGAATCCTTCTGATTCTGTACTTTAAATGTTCCGTTCTCTAAGAGTCCTGAATTCTTCTTGTTCATTCTTAGTCATTCCTAAGCAGCAAGCCCTCCTTTAAAGTCTTCATTTCTTAATCTGGCAGCAAAAATTCCATTTTCATTCAACTCTTAAATAGACAGTGAAATTAAAAGTCAGAAGCATAAGTGTGCATAAATCATTATTTTTCTAGACAATAGATTTTAATTCACATGAAAAAATAGTTTCTAGCACTCTCTTTCCCCTTCCAGGTTTCTCTCCCCCCCCCCCCACTCACCCTGTGCCCTCTAAATGTAAGGTACATAAATTGTCCCTTCTGAGCTTGAGTCTCGCTCACATAGGATCTAATCTCCTTGGATCTTTTTTTTCCGAATTACAGGATCCCCTTTCTCAGATTAGCAACCAAATGCTGTTAACTCTTCAACTGATTTAAGTCTTTAGGAGCCAGAAAGAAGGGCCTATTCATTTATAACTGCTTGAAGTAGTACCAGTGTTTGGTACTCCAGGGAGCCTCCTAATTTTAGTACTATTTGCTTTGGGGAACGGGGCTCAATAGCTGTTTTGTGGAAGCAAAGATAATGATTTCATCAGAACATAACGTATTTGAGGATAATTTATGAATCTTTGTAGGTAGAGTTTCCTTGTGTTTAGTTTTCTGATACCTTCAAAGTTTTCTCTTTTTCTTTTGTTTTCAACAGTTTGGGGACAGCATGAACTCATGGCTCTTTGAATTAATATTCGTTTATCATTTTGAACGTAAATGTATTTCACTAAAATTGTGAAAAATTTGACCATCATTTCTTTAACGTTTTTTACCCTCTCCTCTTTGTTAGTCCATAAATATGTGGTGAACCTTTAAGGATTTTGTTCATTCTATGTGTGTTTGTTTATTGTGTCAAGGTTTTGTTATATAGCCCAGGCTGAATTAGAACTCACTCTATAGACTGGGCTGTCCTCAAGACCACACTCCTCCGGTCTCAGCCTTCTAAATTGGTGACTTGCATTATAAGCAGTCATCATCAAGCCTGGCACTTTGCTCTCCCCCCTCCCCCCCAGCCCGCTTCACCCTATTGTTTACTTCTGATTTCTATTGCTCTGTCTTCAACTTCATTTTTGCTGTCAAAAATGGCCCACTGAAAATCTGAAAATCTTTATTTCTGAAATTGTAATCTTCGGCTTACAGAATACCCATTTGGATTTTTATTTTTTTCTTTGCTGAGATTTGACTTTTGATATTTTCATCCATTGAAAATTAGTTTTGTTGTACTTCACTGCTGACGGTTGTAGTGGTTACAGTGAAATCTAGAAATCTAGTCCGATTCAACACAGATCCTTTTTCTTTTTCTTTTTTTTTTTTTTCTTTCTTTTTTTGGTTTGGTCTGGTCTTTTAAGGCAGGGTTTCTTTGTGTATCCCTGTATATCCTGGAACTCGCTCTGTTGAGCAGGCTGGCCTCGAACTCACAGAGATCCACCTACCTCTGTCTCCTGAGTTTTGGGATTAAAGTCATGGGCCGCCACAAACACAAGAATCCAATGTGTTCTGAAGCACCAAAGTGCCCTGTCTGGTACTTTTCATTTTGGAAATCTTTTTGGTCTTGGTTACCATAGTGGCTTTGAAACCATTCCTTGCTTCTATCCCTTTTCTCTTCAGTCTGTCCTCATTACTCGGAGTAATTCTGGCTCCCATTTTTTACACAGGGTCAGTCCAAACCCACCTGCCATGTCCTGCTCATCAGTCGGAAAATTCATCCTTGACTTTTTACTAGCATGCTTGCGTTCGTTCACAATAGTCGATCAACATCTCATGTTTCTAATAATCTTGAAAGGTGAGTTTTCTCTAAAACTATGTTTTTACTTTAAACTTCGACGGTAGGAAATTGAATCGGCCTTTTCCTGCGCTCAGAAATTTAAGATTAGGATAGAAGCCTTCATTTCTCAGGCGAGAATAAGGACTTAACGAAGGGCCGAAGGATTCTGAGTCAGGTTACCAGCGAACATTCCCCACTCTACCAGTCTGGATTGGGGAAAAATAACAAACGAAAATAAAGGCCAGGGATAGGGGGCTTCCAAGCGCGTGCGCGCAGGTGAGAGCATCTCCCACCCCACCCCCCCGCCCCGCAGAGGGCGTGGCCGTCACTCTCCGCCCAGTGTGCGCGGCGGGAAGCGGAACTGCGGCGCGCTGGGCTCGGCTGCTGGCCGGGCAGGCTTCGCGGGACACCACGGTCTCGGCGCGGGCGGCATGGAGGAGCGCAGCGATTCCGAGCCTACCCCGGGCTGTAGCGGCCCTGGCCCGGGTCCCGTTCGCGCTGGCGGCGCCACCCCCCACACGTGGGCTCCGGAGGACGCCTGGATGGGCACACACCCTAAGGTCAGGAGGCGCGAGGCCAGCCGGGCACCAACCCGGCCCTCCTCACAGCGATCCCTCCACCCGTGTGTGGGCGGAGGACGCACACCAGCCCCGCGGCGGGGGCGACCCGTGTGCACGGCCGCAGGTCGCCCGCAGTATCAATTTTTGTTTGTTTATATGACTAACACCATTCCTCTCACCCTGCCAAAGCCGCTCTTAATCCAGAGGCCGCTGATAAGCGGCCCAGTAATACCTGTTTTCCTAACTAGGTAGTCCTTATGAACTGATTGAATTCACAATTAACCCAACTGTGGGCTGTGGCTGAGATCTAGGAGTCCACAAATATAGTGTTTAGTTAGGCACAGGCACATTACACGTAGCCTTAGGCCCAAAGTGTGTGCATCTTCATTCTGTACGGGAACAGAATTCCAATTTTTCGGATTCTCAAAGTTTGAGCAAGTTCTTGCCCAGGGGAGAACTATTCACGTTGTTGGCCTCGGAAAATAAGGATAGTCTTTTGCTAACCTCTGCTTGGGAAACTGGTGGTTTGTCTCCATAAAGCCACAAACAGTATGCTGATAATGAAAGTTGTATAAGGATCTAGAGTACTGGATTGGTACATAAATAAAATGGCAACTTTTCTTTTGCGTTATTAACTTAATAAACATCTAAACTAATCGAGAAAAGGGAGTATTTGAAAATACAATTCTGAAAAGAAAAACCTTTCCCTACTTTTTGAAGCTTGGTGTTTTCTTGCTCTCTTCCATTCATTTTCACCAAAAACAATAGCATAGCATGGAATTGTTATAAATTTAACAAATTTAACAAAGTATAACAAGTAACGGGGGTAGAGAGCAAGAGAGACAGAGACAGCGACTAGGAACATGGACTCCAGGGGAGAGGGGAAGAGAGACAGAGACAGCGACTAGGAACATGGTCAATGCCAACTCAGACTTCTCCAGTTTACTTTGACTCGTTTTGACTTGGCTGACCTCATTGTTTTTCATTTTTTTTGACGTGTCTCAGTATACCACAGTCTTTTCATTTAAAAACGGGATAATAGTGTACTTAACCTTATAGGGACATTTTTATAAGGTATTTGACATAAAAAAGCACCATATAAGGATTTACTAGTAACCTTTTAAAACCACATTTAGGTTTGATGTTGCCTTTAGACAATTTTCTTGTTTTTAGAGTCTTTTCGCTTTGAAGCTAATGACTCCAAGTCTTCCTGTTGATTTTTTTTCTTCCAGGATCAACAAATTGATTTAAAAAAGAAAAGAAATAATATATGTTTTCCAATTATACCTTTTAGTTACTTAATTTGAAAACTGCTTAGTAAGAATGTTACTGGATTTCCCAATTTACAAGCTTATTATTTGATTTTTTGAATCAGAAATATGTAGTACCCTACATGGATAAAATTTATCTTTAGCTTTGTCACATGGACCTTGTAGCCTGACCTCAAATTATGTCTCAGTACTATTGTCGAGCACTTCTTGAGACTTGGAATACACATATGCCCACCCTGCCCAACCTGTTTGTTTGCTGTGCAGCAAATAGGGGAAGGTGACCTCAGGTCTGCCCCTTAGGGTTCTGCAAATATCTCATCTGTCCATGGGCTCTGTTTGTAAGGATGCCCAAGGCTTTCCCTGCAGGACTAGGTTTCTATTGTTTATAGACCTGCTCACTGACTGTTTAGATGCCCAAGGCTTTCTGCTGCAGGACTAGTTTCTGAGTTTTTCCTGTAACAAACAGCAAGTCTGAAAGAAGTAGTTTACTTCTTAAAACTCAATTAAATAACTCCCACTTAAAGGAGTGGTGAGGAAATTAGCAGAAGTTTTTCTGTTTGCAAATTAGAGGCCAGCGAAAGCGTATCCCATAGCATAAGCCAATGAAAGTCTTATTTATTTTTTTCTCTGCTCCTGGTGGATATGTTTCTTTATAGACTCTTGGATATATGTAGCTTATTTTCACTCCATAATTACACACACTATTACTCCACTTCTCCATATACTCAAGTCCTACAAGGCTTGTTTTGCATCCAGTCTGTCATGAAGCATTTGCCAGTCCATCACCTGAGAACACTTCCTATTCTGTCCTTGTTTTATAACTCATACAGTTTTATAACTCATTTGCCTAACAGAATTAAGGATAGCTAGTTCTACATATATGGAGGGTTTGCTATTGAAAACATTTGAAAAAATTTTCCTATATACTTTATACATCATAGCTTTTATTGTCATTATTCCTAAACATACAGCACTTGGATTGTATTCTGTATTGTAATTGTGGTAGGATTGCAAAGATTATATGCAAATATTCTTGCATTTCATATAAGGGACATGAACCGTCTTAGATTTTTGTGATTGATAAGGGCAGATCTTGGATGCAGCAAGGGAGGCTGTATGCATGTGTTTAACAATTGCGGATGTTTTTTTAGGGCAGAGATAAGACCTTACCTTTTAATTTCCATTAAATCTGGAAGATAGCTTATATACATACACACATATATATATATATATATAATATGCATGCATTTAGTGAATACTTGTTAAATGGAAAAAATAATGAGCTATTTCCTTCTCTATTTAACAATTATGTTTTGACTTTCAGTACTTAGAAATGATGGAATTAGATATAGGAGATGCCACCCAAGTTTATATAGCATTCTTGGTTTACCTGGATCTCATGGAGAGTAAGTTCCTTGCTTATATTGTTTTGCTATTGGAGTGTGGGAGGTTGGGGAATTGGGTTGTCCTATAGCATTGTTCACATATTATAAGCAAACACTTTTTTATTTAGTAATTTTTCCTGCTAATTTTACATATCTCTGTTCATTTACGTTGAGAATTGCTAGGTTGTGGAAAAGATCAGAAAAACAAAGAGAGGAAGTTGTATTACGAATGAAGTTTTCTCTTCTGAATATTAGAAGTTTAGTGTGCTTATCTTTTGAGTGAAGTTGGCTCTACTGCGTATGGGAAGTTTAGAGTGCTTATCTTTTGTTCTCAAGGAGTGCTTTCTTGGTGCTCTTTCAGGTAAAAGTTGGCATGAAGTAAACTGTGTAGGAATACCAGAACTACAGCTTATCTGCCTCCTTGGCACTGAGATAGAAGGGGAGGGGCTACAGACTGTGGTGCCCACACCCATTTCTGCTTCCCTCAGCCATAACAGGTGAGTGAGTACTTCTGGTCTTAGTTTAACAAACCTGTAAGTTTTTTTTTTTTTTTTTTGGTGTTTTTTTTTTCCACTTTTATAAATTCTTTTTATGTTTTAATCCATAATCTTTCATTGACCTTATTTTTAGTTTTTAAACTCACACCTTACTGTTTTAAGGTATGTTTTAAATAAGTAACATCTTAATTTGAATATGATCATGTTTGTCTGCTCTTTCTTTTATAATCATCATCTTTGTGTCTAGCTTAAGGTAGATTTCCTGTTTGGAATTCTAGCTAAAGGTCTGTTTTTAATTTTTAAAAGGTTACTAAGAGTTTCAATGTTTTTTTTTTAAATGGTACAACAGTAAAGGGCTCCCATTTTCCTATGAATATTACCTTTCACCTTCGTTTGCAGCAGTCAGTTCTCCATTATTTTCTCATTTAGCACCTCTTACAATTCCCAAATTCCACACACACAGTGAAACCGTGTTGTGGTTTTTGTTGTTGTTGTTTCTTTTTCTTTTTCTTTTTTTTCTTATTTTTATTTATTTATTTATTTATTTTTAGTTGGGAGATTCCTGCTTTAATCGCATTACTCTTTATAGATCTTTTAAGTTTGTATCCATTAGGTTTGTTAAGTTTGATAGACAGTATTTCTATCAATTTCTTATACATTTCCCAATTTATTGGAATCTAGATTTTCAAACAGTTCTTTAATGAGCCTCTGAATTTCATTAGTATCTTTTATCTCCAGATTTTTAGTTCAGTCATTCCCCATCTGTGGTTAATTTGATTGTCTGTTTTATGTTTTTAAATAATGAACTCTTAGTGTCTTTGGTTCTTTGTAAATTCTGCTTTATTTCCATTTCATTGATTTCTGCTCCATCATTATTGCTTTTCCATCTATTAATTTTGAGTTTGGTTTTAACTTAAGCACTATAGCTTTGAGCTTTCTTTTACTAATTGCTATACCCCTAAGTTCTTTTGTGTTTTCATTTTCATTTGATCCTAGAAATTTTAAAGTCTCCTCCCTGATTTTGTCAGTAGCCCTCTGATCATTCAAGAACATAGTAAATCTCAGTGGGTTTGTATATTTCTATTGACTTCTACTATTATTTTATTTCATTATGATATGAATACCATTATCTAATATTGCTTGGAATAGTAAAATTTAATTCTATATGTATTGAGTGCATTCTATGTGTTGGTGATGGCATATTGATCAAGATGTCTTCATGAAGGTAATATTTATTCTAGTACAAATGTTGACTTGCAAAATGATTTTTTTCTCGTTTGATTATTATTGGGTGGGATGGAATAAGAACAAAATTGTCCTCTGCTCAAATAGTTCATTGAACGTGTTTTGGGAACTGTACTAGGTAATTGAGTAGCAGGGCTATGGAGGACAGATAAGCATTCAATCTTAGGACAGGATAAGTCTATTGATACCACATTTGGGACAGCAACAGTTCTCAACCCATGTGTTACCACCTCCACAAGGGCTATTCAGATATCCTGAATATCAGGTATTTACATTATGATTTATAACAGTAGCAAAATTATAGTTATGAAGTAGCGGTGGAATAATTTTATGGTTGGGGTCACCACATGTGAGGAACTGTATGAAAGGTCACTGAGGACCATGTGGTAGGAGGTCTGCGAGTAACTGAGCAGCGTTGGCAGTGGGTGCCTCGGGGGTCTGATTAGTGCATGGTGAGAGTGCCTACATGAGTGAAGAGCCAAGTGAATGGCTGGGACTCAAGAGAGAAAGGGCAAGGGTGGGGAGTGAGGGGAGGTCTTCTAGATCACAGAGACCTTCACTGTTTTCACTTTCCCCAGTCACAATGCTTCACTATGAGCAGCCTTATCGACAGCTCTTGTACTTAGGTTTGAGAGTTTTCCTAAGGCCGTGATTGGGACGTCCAGCATTGATATCTACCTCGCGACTGTTATTGCTGAGGTGTTCTTGGAGAAGAATTGCTGTCAGTTTACACTTTGACGGGCAATGTAGAAGAGATATGCCATGTGAAATTGGCAAAGTTTAGTTTAGATTATATAGTTATTGTGACTCTTGCTCACCTGGTACTCAATGGAGGAGGCCAGGCTGGTGGGCCAGTGAGCACTAGGGACCCCCCTGTCTGCTTGCCCCGTGCTAGGATTGTAGGCTCACACCCTTGTGCTTGTTTCTCTTGTTGTTGATTTGGTTTGGTTTTTTTGAGATATGATTTCTCTGGACTGGCTATTTTGGAACTCTCACTGTAGTTCAGGCTGGCCTTGAACTCAGAGATCCATCTCACGTGCCCCAACCCCAGTGCTGGGGTTAAAGGTGTGTGCCACCACTGCTTGGCTTTTGTTTTTAATGGGGATTCTGAGGATCAGACTTAGGCCCCCATGCTTGTGCTGCAAGCCCTTTAGTGCCTAAGCTTTTTCCTCTGCCCCTTGTTTAAAATGCAATTTTTAATTAAATTTTAAAAGATCTTTTATTGTAAAAGTCAGATACAGAATTATTATATAATAATATGTAATCATTACATAAGCTCATAATTACAAATTTGAGTTATCATAAAATACTCATATCACATAACTATGGCCAAGAGCTTTTTAAGAGTCCTTCCCAGGGTGTGGAATAGCTCTCCTTCTCACAGAAAAACTTATGCTTGTTTTCACAGTAATTGACCTCTCAGTGCTGCTTTCCTCTTTGACTCCTACTCAAGAATTATGTGGGGACGTGAGTGAATGAGACTGATATATTATCAAGAATACTAAGTTTTGGAGCTTGTCCTGGAACCAACTCTTGTAGATCAGGCTGGCCTCGAACTCACAGAGATCCGCTTGCCCCTGCCTCCTGAGTGCTGGGCTTAAAGGTGGAGCACGTGGGTTTTGAGGCACTGTCTGAAGCTGTGCTGGTCAGCTTTGTGAAACTGTTATTCTTAATGCTCTGTATTCCTAACAAAACTGTAAAAAATATTTTTATTAATAGGGAAATGGGAAGCATATTAAACCACAGAGCCAAAGGAGTAAGCAGTCTGTTGGCATGCAGTTTCATATGAATTTGCAATGATAACTCCTTGTATATGGTACACATTTTAGAATTTGTAAAACTTGGCAGCTGTCACTCATTAACTCTCGTTGTGTTAACTGCAGTGTAGTTATAGACCTCTTACTCCTCAGTGAAGACAAACAACAATCCTGTTGTATCAGTTAAACCATTTAGTAGGTGTCTCGCCTTTTGAGTGTTGAGTGGCTAATGTTGTAGAGTGTATATTTGCTGATTCCTTAAAAGGTAATAGTCCTGGGCAGTTCCTAATATCAGTTCTTAATATCACTGTGTATCTGGCTACATTTCTCAGCATTTCTAGACTGTTTTGCATGCATTTCCTGCTTATTTTCCCAGGCTTTGGACCTGGTGGCTCTGTTTTCATAGTTTCTGGCACTAGACAGGCAGATTCCATTACAAATTATGTAGGGGAATGTGCTGCAGTTGTAGAGTTGCAGAGATATCCTGACTTATCAGGGAGCCAGGATATACTTAGAACTGCAATAGGACAACTCTGGAGGGGTGGAGCCACAATAGGACAGTTTAGACCCTTAAGGAGCATCCTAGCAAGGTTCTTCTGTTCTGTTCTGTTCCGCCTTGCTCAGGTCCCCTAGGGGAGCATCTCAGCAAGGTTTTTCAGCTCAGTCCTCTAAGGGACATCCCAGCCAGGTTCTTCTATTCTGCACCAGCTAATGAAGGTCATCACCCAAGACTCTTTTGAGAAAGAGATTTATTGAAAGAAGGAGTCAGGAGAGTGGCTGCCTCTGCCATGGAGGGGTAAATGGTGCCCTCTAACTGAACAGGCAGAGAGGCTTATATGGGCTGCTTAGGGGCAGAGAAGAGGAATCGGTTAGTTTTTCCCTGCTCAGGGATTGGTTAGTTTAGTTGGTCAGAGGCAGAAATGAGTCTGACTTTATGTTTATTTCCCTGGCCCAAGTCTCAAATCCAGGGTGTGTTTCTTTCACTGATTCTGGGTTCATAGTCAGGATGCTCAGTGATTGGTTGGTTTCCTGCTCCAGTTGTCCCTTTTACCCTACAAGTTGTTTGAGTACTTGAATGGGTGAGGGTCTATATGAGTATAGGTAAACTAGCTTGTCACATTTTTAGACACACATTAACATGGTGTGTCCATGTACATGGAACTTCAGCTTGTTTTCTGTTTAAATCAATCTGAGGCATCAATATAACACTTTGGTAAATGCTTTCCCCCAGACAAAGTAATGCTATGAAGTAACAGCCATAGATTTGCACAGAGGTCACGGAGCTGATGGGTTTGAAGATGAAACTGGGCATGTAGCTCTGTGGGTAAGAATGCTTTCTCTGTAAGACTAAGAATCTGAGTTCGAATCCTAGCACCTGTGTAAAAAGCCAGCTATGTGCCTGTCACTCCAGTGTTGAGGGGCAGAACAGGCAGATCTCGAGAGATTGCTGGCCAGCCAGCCTGCCTAGCCAAAACAGTGAGGTTCTATAAGGGACTCGATTTTAAAGGACTACGCATGGCACAAACTACTGAAGAAGGCATTCACCATCCTCTTCTGATCCTTTCACGTGTGCGTCTTATGCAGTGTGCACCACACCACACACACGCGCGCGCGCGCGCGCGCACGCGCACACACACACACACTTTTAAAAACAATGACACAACAAGGGCTTCCCACATAAGTTAAAGGCCTCTTCTATCATTTTCAATGCTGATGTTGAAAACGAAGGCTTCTCTTTGGGTGGAAAGTAAAACTAAGCATTTTAGCATGGTCGTATATACTCACAGCTGTTACAGTACACATTCTTCCATAGAGAAGCTACTTTGCTCCTGTTTTTTGCTGAGAATCACTGATTACACTGAAGCCATGATTATAGTGTTTCAGGCGTTTGGGAAAGGGTTGGGTACAGGTGACTGGAAAAGAGGAATATTGTAAGTACCTTACAGCAAGGCTCAGAAAGAAGAAAGAAAAGGTTGTTTTTTGTTTGTTTTGTTTTCA